CCTGGAGGACAGTCCTTAGGGTCTCAGGTCTCGCGTGAATCTCCACAGAATCCTGAGGCTCCGCTTGCCTGCATTTTAGAGACTCAATGGCTTCATGAATCTACCATCACAATGACACGACGTCATACCAGGAAATGTGATTGGAGCTACACAGGAATGGGCTCGGATGGTCTGCAGTCACCCTCCAGCATCCATCAGTCTCTGCAAGGGCAGGCCAGAGAATTAAACAGACATGGTGGTCTACCACCCCTGCCTCTGTTAGGCCTTTGATGATGGTGCCCTCCTCCCAGAATGCAATGTGGCTGGTGGTTTATTACTTGGCCGTGGACAGGGCAGTTTCAAAGGTTTGCACTTGGGCTTTCCCACAACAAACTGTGTCCCCACACAACCTGAAACCCGGTGTGCGGTCTTTCCAATTGCCAAGTGTGAACACTGCAAACGCACACTCAGGGAACAGGAAAATGTTAGCTGGGTGGTCTGTTGACTCCAAGGACCTACTACAACTAGTGCTTCAGCCAGGATTCCTTTCATTACCTGAGCCCTAAACCTTTTCTCTAACCTGGTGACACTTTCGTCTCCAAGTACCAGTGCCTACTCAGACGTTGTGTCCAATTGTCCTCAAAGTATCTCGATGCTCCCTTTTTTTCCAGTGTCCAGTCACTGAGCACTGGGTTATAAGACCCACAGTCCATACTTGTCATGGTATGGCCTGGCCCTTTCTCCTGGTGACTCAACCACCTGTGTAATAACGGTTCCAGATTGGAAATTAGCTCAATCCAAGCGTGGAGCAGGGAGCCGTGATGTTTCACTGGAGTCCCTGCCCTCAGCCTCCTAATTCTCTCCTCTACCACATGCCAGAGAATTGAACATTGTGTGATGTGAGCTATCACTTTCTCTATGCTTCCATGCACCCTCCAAGAAGTCACCTTGTCCTGTCACCTGACGGCCTTGCCAGGGGATCAAATCCTATGTCCCAGGAAAATGCCTCCAAGTTTTCCATCCTTCTCTTCTGTCCCTTGGATGAGGCAAAACTAGCGGGGCTTCCCTGACTCCAGCAGATATGGGCCAAAAACCTCTTGCAGTTTCTCTTTCCTCCTGATCAGGCTGAGCAGGTCCCTGCCCAGGTCACACTGGACTTAACCCATAGTCACTGGCCTGGCAGAGGAGACAAGTGAGGCCACCTCCCTCTTGCCTTGGGGGAGGCCCCTGCAATGTCTTCCCACATAGAGGAAGGACTGGTTTACCAGAGAAGGGGGGGATAGGGGGTGGGCCCCTCTGTAAGCTCTGCAAGTCAGGGGTCTACAGAGCAACATCCTTGGGGACCACCCAAATGTCCTGGTCCATGTTTTGGGGTCTCGGGTTTCTCCAACCAAGATCCTGACCTTCACATGGACCAGCCTTCACCAAGCATTCACACATGCTGGAGCAGGTGATCCTCGCTATCACACGAGCCCTTCCACTGCAGCAGGCAGGGTCTTCTTCCAGCTCCCACAGAGGCCCTCTGGTTCTCACACTGAGCCTGTCCCTGAAGGCCAGCTGCTTCGGCCTGCTTTCATCCTTGTACAGGAGGTATAACCAACCAACTCCACTGTCTCCCTAGCCTTTCAAACTCCTGAATTATCACATCTGCAAGACAAGGACATCTCCAAGGACAAGGTCACCCCTGCTGAAATCCTTAACAACTGGCTCTCAATCTTATACCAAAGGCTACACGTGCCCCACCCCCAACAAGCAGGATGGCGACTTCTTCATCTGCCAGTGAGCAGTCACCTCACAGCCAGCTTCTCAAACCAAAGCTGCACCACGTGTGCTAGCTGGAGTCCTCTGAGAAGCAGGTGTGGTTACAGGATTAGACACAATTGGACTGATCAGAAAATGCCTGAGAAGGGTGCAGAGGAGGGGCCAAAGATAACAGGGAGGCTTGGACCACAGATGAAACCTTGTCAAGCAGAGGGGAGAAGGGCTGGCTCAGGGAGCCTTGGGCTGCAGGGCCTTCCTAGACTGTCCTGGCCAGACTGGTGGTGACATCTGAAGCCAAAGCAATCCCTTAAAGTGTTTGGGTTTTGAGGGAATGAGGCCGTGCGCTATCTCCCCTGGGAGCAGCCTAGATGGGAAGCCAAATGCCTTGCCAGGGTGAGAGCTCAGGCTGAGGCCAGAGGATGTGCACGGCTATGGTCCACTGTACTTTTAGGGCAGTAGGCCTGTCTCATTTGTGGCCTCTATGCAGTTGCCACACTCAGGCACACTTAGACATGCACACACATGCCACACACTCATGTGTACACTTGCACACCCATGCCCACTCATATACACATGCATGACATTCACTTACTCACTTGCATATTCACACCCCATCGCCTTAATGTGCCCTAGTTCCAGGCCCACCATCCACTGGATCAACTCCTGTAGCAGAGAGCAAGAGTGGCTGACGCTGCCAGGGCAGGGTGAACAGAAGGAAGATGGGCCCTGAGAGCAGGATCCAGCCAGACCACTATTTGGCTGGATCTCTGGCAACAAATTGCTGGTGGGATGGTCTTTGGTCAGATCAGCACACAGAGTGCTCTGAGCTGGGTGGTAATCCTTCTCTCTCACACTGGAAAGTTGCTTCCTACCCTTGCTGTTCTGATGGGGACACAAAGACACCTGCACAGATGCCTGCCCTAGACTACCTTACCATCCGCCAGGAGACAGAACTGAGCAGACAGGCTTCAGGAGATTAAGGGAGAAAAGTCTTAAAGACAGGCAAATGTGGGAACCAGCAGTTAGCATAATGGCTATGTCGCTGGACTCCCACGTAGTCGACCGCGGTTCGTGTCCCGGACCCGGTGGCTTAAAACTCACGCTGGGCACGTGTGCGTGCGTGCCCAAGATCCCGAGAGGAGAATGGAGGAGAAGGGATTGCGGCGTGACCATCCCCCCTGGGGGGTGATTTCTCGCTTTCTGTCTCTATGTCTCTCTCTGTCTGTCTGGTGAGCGCACACGCCCTACAGTGAAAATCTCTCCAAAAAAGAAAAAAAAAGACAGGCAAATGTGCGCACAGGAAGGGTGCTTCCCAGGGTCCAGGTGACTAGGGACCCAGGGCTTTATTTCCTGGTGGAAGGGGTTACTCAGAGATTTATAAAATCTCATCTACAACTAGGGCCTCACAGCAACTGCTTGACCTCTGTTTAAAAATTGTCCTGGTGGGACCAGCGATTGGCGTAATGGCTATGTCACTGGACTCCCATGTAGTCAACTGCAGTTCAAGTCCTGGATCCAGTGGCTTAAACTCACACTAGGCACATGTGCATGCTTGCCCAAGATTCCGAGAGGAAAATGGAGGAGAAGGGATTGCGGCGTGACCATCCCCCCTGGGGGGTGATTTCTCGCTTTCTGTGTCTCTGTCTCTCTCTATCTTTCTGGCGAGCGCACGGGCCCTATACCAAAAATCTTTTATATAAAAAAAAAGAATTGTCCTGGGGTTGAGGTGAGCAGATGGTGCAATGGTTAAAGCATTGGATACCCGCATGGTCAACTATAGTTAGAGTCCCAGCCCAGTGACTTGAAATTCATTCTGGGTGCTTGCATGCCCAAAATCCCAGCATGGCCATCCTCGGGGAAGGTGATTTCTTGCTTTCTAGCTCTCAGTCCCTCTCTCTGATCTCTAGCACCCTATAACAAAACCCCTGGGGGGAAAAAAAGTCACCCTGGGGCCAGCAGGTGGCATAGTGGAACTCCTGGACTTCCATGGTGCATGACCACAGTTCAAGTTCTGGACCTGGTGGCTTGACAATTATATGGGGTGCATGTGCAAGCCCAAAATCAGAGGAAGATAATAGAGGAGAAGGGATTGTGATGTGGCCACCCCCGCCCCCAGGGTGATTTCTCACTTTCCCTCTCACTGTCTCCATTGTCTCTGTCTGGCACGACAGGCCCTATGGAAAAAATCTTTAAAAACAATGAAAGAAAAAAATAATTGCCTTGGGGACAGCAGGTGGCGAGGTGATTAAGGGTGCTGGATTCCCACATGGCCGACTGTGGTTTGAGTCCCGGACCTGGCAGCTTGCTTTTTCACTTTCCCTTTCTCCCCCTCTCTCTCATTCTGTTCCTCTCTGGTCAAATTAAAATAAATAAATAAATTAAATTAAAATTAAAATAAAAAAATAAAATAAATTAAATTAAATACTTAAAAAAAAAAAAAAGAATTGCCTTGACTACGCCTCGCAAAGGTCGTACAGTGCCCCACACGCATGTGGGAAACCCAGGGCACGGTTCTGACCCTCTGCCCAGAGGCTGCATGTCCCAAGCCGGTGCTGGGAAGTAGGATCCGCCCTTGCGGAATCTCCACGCAGACTCAGCCTCTCCCAGAGTGGGCGAGGAGGAGGATGAGCGTGGGGGACACTGAGGGAGGGAGCCTTGAGGAGAAGACCCTGCACTAGCCCCAGAGGCAGCCTCTACAGAAAGGCGAGTCTCCAGAGTGCAGTCCCTAACGCCCCAGGTCCCTCCCAGATCGCCCCAGAAATGGGACAGGAGGCAGGGTCAGCCCTGAGAGGTGAAAGCCCAGCAGCGAGCCGCGGCCAGCTGGGACCAGTGACAGAAGTGGGGACCCTAGTGGGGGAGGAGTACGGACTGGGGGCGGGGGGAGACAGGGCTGGGTGAGGTGATTTGACTCTACTCAGGACGACTTCGCAGATCGGTGGCAGCCGCCTCCCCCTCACCCCTACGCAGTCTGGGGGCTGGTCCTGCCCTCCCTGCCCCTCCCGGGTCCTCCCATCCCCTCGCCGACCCCGCCCGGCTGGTCTGCAGGGCCGCAGCGCCTCCCGGTGGCGGTAGTCCTGGGCACAGCGACGGGCGGGGTGGGGGTAAAGTGGGCGGCCCCTCCTGCGGTCCCCTCCCTCCTGCCCACTCGGCACCCGCTTCTCTGGCGGTCAGACCGGAGCCTGCTCGGGAAGTATCCAGCGCCGGCGACCAAAGCCGGTCCCGGGATCAGGTAAGCGCCCCTGCCAGACCGCGAGGACCTCTGCCGTCGGGACTGGCCAGGCCGCGGAGTCGAACCGGCGCTGCGTGTGAGGCTGGCGGCTAGGAAACCGCCCTTCCGCTCGGTCCGCAAGTTCTGAGCCGGCTCTGTTCCTCCCTCGGTCATCCCGGGAAGGGCCCTACCAAGCCCGGGGGCCTGGCTCTGCTGCTCTAACCGACCCCCACTCCGGAGGGGCTGGGAATGGAGCCTGCGCCCGCCTAGCAGGCCCCGCGTCCTATCTGCTTGGCCCACGCTCGTGTCTCCAAAGGTCCGCGCCTTGGGTGCGCGCTGTTGCCCTCCGAGGGCCCGCTCCTTTGGCCCAGGGCGCCGGTGAGTTGGTGTGCACTGGGGGTTTGGCTCGGGCACAGCTGGACTGGGCAGGGGCTTCTCTCTATGTCTGAGCTCGGTGCCAGAACCCTGCAGCTCTCCGGCCTACTGCCTGTACCCCCGGACGTCTCCCCGTTGTGGATACCACCCGGCCATTGCCCCAAAGGCTCAGTATCTGTCGTCCATTTGGAGGTCGGGTTTCCTCCCTGGCCTGGAGGATGTTTGGGGAGTGTTGAGGGGCCTACATCTGTCCCATTGGAAGAACCCTCCTCCCCTTGGACTTGGAACTGGGAGCAGGGTCTCCAGGAATTCTGGTGACTTTCCCCAGGGCAAGAGAGGAAAGCAGTCCCCTCCTTCTAGGATTGTGGGGCAGGAATGAGTACTGGGAGGGGAGCACAGGCCATACCCCCACTGCCCCCACACACACTGCAGAGAGCTCAGTCGGTCCCATTCTCCCACCCTGGATCATCCCCCAGCACTTAGAGTCTGCTCCAGATGACTGAAGGGCTCAGAAGGTGAGGTAGGTGATGGTGCTTCCACCCACTGTCCTGCTGGACTGGGCCCCACAAACCCCAGGGTTCCTCCAGAGCAGCAGGACCTTTGGACCTCTCTTCCCAAGAGGACGGGAAGGACAGCCTAGGAGCAGAGCACCTGCCCTGTGGAGCCTCAGGTGGGCAGGGGAGCCCAGTGCCCACCTGTGCCCAGGCAAGAACCAGGCACCATCCTCGCTCACACTCAAGGGCCCCTGAAGAAAGTCTTGAGACCTTTAGAAGTCCCTCTTGTTTCCTCCAATATGGTAGCTCTAGCTCAGAGGCGGTCTTACATTTAACCAAAAACAAAAGCATTGGGGTTTACACTCACCTCCTTTCTCGAAGGTCTGGAGGCAAAATAGGCATTTGGGGCTCCCAGCAGGGAGGCAAATGATGGGACCAGCGAGTGTCCTGGGTCAGATGAGGAGGGGAGGACAGAGCACAGGAGGGGCACAGCCATCCCCTTTGCAGGGCCTGCAGGTTTTGCTGGACTGTGGGTGGCCCTGGCCTCTCCGAAGCTGATGACAGTGGTGTGGGGGAGCCTTTGGAGACCTTGGTGAGGAGTAGGGGGACAGCTGTGGGGCATCTGTGGTGGAAGAAACAGGGAGGGCAACATCCAGGGGAGAGGCCAGGCTCATGCTACTCAAGCCACCTGGCCAGATGGATCTGGACCCTGTCGTGCCCATGCATGCCCATGCTGGCAGGAGCACTCAGATTACATGGGCAGCTCTGTGTGAATGGGGCCACCAAAAGCCTCTCATGGCCTCAGGAGCCACGGGCAGCAGGGGCTCTACAGCCAGCACCCTGAGGGAGTCTTCTTGGGGCCTCAGCAAAGGGTGTGACCAAGCCCACGCTCCATAAGCCTCCAGTCTCTCATCTGTAGCCTGTAGCCACGCTTCTGTAGCCTGGAGGTCAGGCTCAAAAGCACCCACACTTCTTACCTAACTGGGTTGTTGAGGGACCCTAGACACATGGAATGTACGTAGACTACGTTTATAGCCACAATGTGCTTTATCAAGCAGCTCTTGTGATTGTTTTAACAAAAACACACACGATTTGATGCTCTCCGTTTAAATAGGGCCCCACATTTGATAAGTTGGTCCCTCCTGTGGACTCTTTCTCACAATTATGCAAAGATTGGGTGGGGAACCCTGGTTGGGGGAACACCAGTGAGCAAGCAGGGGTACTGGGATGCTGCTTAGTGACCAGGACCTGGGGGGCCTGACCCTGCCCTCCAGACACGTGCCGGGACCGGGCCATATTCAAGGCAACATATCCACAGGCTGCGGGGGCAGCCACCATTATCAATGTGTATGACAGCAGCAGCCACCCCAGATAGTGCATCTGCCTTCTAGTGCCGGTTTGTGAATGCTGTAGTGAGCAGGTGGGGTGAGGTTCCCAACTCTGAGAGACCCCTGCTTCCAGAAGGACAGATTCTGAGTCCAAGGGTATGAAAAATATTAAGGCTTTCAAAAGCCAGTTGTCAGATGCCAACTAGAGAAGTGGAGAAGGACCTTGGGTTCTCCCCTGGATAGGATCAGTCCTTTTCCTTATTTACCCATTTCACTGATGAAGAATGATACCTTGCTTTGGGATTGTTCTGCATATCTTGGTTTTTATGCCGTACAACATTATTTGATCACTGACCATTTGTAGTTTTATTGAGATTTGCCTATTGGTTTATTAACAGGTGTTCACTTTTTATGGATTTGTAAGAGCTTTTTCTCCCTCAGCGTCTTTTATTATGGTGAAAAACATGGCATAAAATTACTATCTCAACCATTTTTAAGTGTACAGTTCAGTGATATTAAATGCATTCATGTTGGGAACCAGCAGTTAGCGTAATGGCTATGTCGCTGGACTCCCACATAGTCGACCGCGGTTCGCGTCCCGGACCCGGTGGCTTAAAACTCACGCCGGGCACGTGTGCGTGTGTGCCCAAGATCCCGAGAGGAGAATGGAGAAGGGATTGCGGCGTGACCATCCCCCTTGGGGGGTGATTTCTCGCTTTCTGTCTCTATGTCTCTCTCTGTCTGTCTGGTGAATACACGCGCCCTAGAGCGAAAACCTCTCAAAAAAAAAAAAAAAGCATAAATGCATTCATGGTGTTATGCAACCATCACCACTTTTCATGATCATAATTCTTCATTTTGCAAACCCATTAAGTAAGAACTCCCCGTTCTCCTTTCCCCTACAATAGAAATTAAGAATGGCAGCCACCATTCTACTTCCTGCCTCTATAGATTTGGATCCTCTAGGTGACTCATATAAGTGGGATCATATAATATTTGTCCCTTTGTGAGTGGTTTATTCACTTAACATAATGTCCTCAATCCATGTTTTAGAATTTCCTTCATTTTGGGGACCAGCAGCTGGCGTAGTGGCTATGTCGCTGGACTCCCGTGTGGTCAACCACAGTTCGAGTCCCAGACCTGGTGGCTTAAACTCACACCGGGTGCATGTGGGCGTGTGCCCAAGATCCTGAGAGGAGAATGGAGAAGAGATTGTGGCGTGGTCATCCCCCCGAGGGGTGATTTCTCACTTTCTGTCTGTCTCTCTCTGTCTTTTTGACAAGCACATGCACCCTATAGCAAAAACCTCTCAAAAAAAAAAATAAATAAGTAATTCCTTCCTTTTAAAGCTAAATGATATTCCATCATGTGTATATACACAATTTTACTTATCCATTCATCGGTTATAAGACTTTTAGATTGCTTCCATATTTTAACCATCACAAATGATCCATCTATGAATACAGATGTACAGATACCTTTTCAAGACCCTAGCTTCAGTTTTTTTGAGTACATTTATACCCAGAAATGGATTTGCTGGACCATGTGGAAATTCAATTTCAATTTTTTGAGGAAATACCTATTTTCCACAGAGCCGTACCCCTTTCCATTTCTATCAACAGTGCAGAGGGTTCCAATTTCTCCATATCCTTGCTAACACTTCTTATTTTCTCTTGTTTTCTATAGTAGCCATACTGATGGGTATGAAGTGGTATCTTGTTGTAGTTTTGCATTTTCCTAATGATTCATGTTCAACATCTTTTCATATGATTATTGCTATTTGCATATCTTCTCCAAGGAAATGCTATGTCCGTGTCTGAATCTGAATTGTTTTAATGTTGGTGGGTTTCAGTGGTTCTTTATATAGTCTGGGTATTAACATTCTAGGTATTAATCCCTTTTTATAGATATGATCTGCACTTATTTTCACCCATTCCATGGGTTGTATTTTTACTCTTTTATGGAGTCTTTTGCTGCACAAAATATTTTAATTTTCAATGAAATGAAATGAAATCCATTAAATTAATCATTTAAGTTTCCAATTAAATGAAATCCAATTTGTCCATTTTGTTGTTGTTGTTGCCAGTATCGTTGGGGTCAGATCCCAGAAATCATGGCCAGATCGAGTATCATTAAGTTATTTCCCCATGTTTTCTTCTAAGAGCTTTAAAGATTTATGTTTTACATTTAGGTCATAGACTCATTTTGAAATCATTTAAAATATGATTTAGCTAAAGGTCCAATTTCATTCTTTTGCATATAGATACCAGTTTTCCTAGCACCACTCGTCAAAAACTGTCTTTTTCCTTATGAATATTCCAGGACTCATTGTTGAAAATTGTCTGCCCATACATGCCAGAGTTTATTTCTCAATTCTCTGTTCTATTTCATTGATATCTATGTCTGTTTTTATGCCAGTATTACACTACATTGATTATTGTACACCTTTGCAATAAGTTTCAAAATTAGGAAGTGTGAGTCTTCCAACTCTGTTCTTTTCTTTTCTTTTCAGTATTATTTTGGCTATCCATAGTTCCTTGAAATTAATTTTAGGATGGATTTTTTTATTTCCAGGAGTCAGGAAGGCAGCCCCAAGGCAGAGTAGTTAAAAAATCCAGACCCCACATAACCAACTGCAGTTTGAGTCCCAGACCCAGTAGCTGGAAAAACATGCTAGGCCCCTCTGCATATATGCCCAAAATCCCAACAGGATGAAAAAATTGAGGTGAGGGCATTGTAGTGTGACCAGACCCCATTAGGAGATGCTTTCTCTCTCCCTTTCTGGTCTCCCTCTCCGTTTTGCTTTCCCTCTCCTTAAGTCTCTGACTCTCTGTCTCTCTCTGGCAAGTGCATATTGTATTGACTTCTTAACAATATTAAGTCTTTCATATATAAACATGGTAGGTCTTTCCTTTTATTTATGTTTTCTTTTTCTTTCTTTCTAGATTTTTCAGTTGCCAGAGAGCTCATATACTCACCAGAGAGAGAGTGTAAGAAAAAGAACCCCCCAATGGGGCATAGTCACACTTTGATTCCCTTCTCCATTTCTCCATCTCGTCAGAATTTTAGGTACACACACACACACACACACACACACACACTCCTGGTATGTTTTTCAAATTGCCCTGGCCAGGATTTGAACCATGGTTAGCCATGTGGGATCCAGCTTCCTAGGCACAGG